TTCTGCTCTCAATTGTGATCGGCAGATTATAATTTTCATTGTTGTCATATTCAATAGTTATGTATTTGTACATTTTTTTGTCATTTTTGCGTCAACTATCTCATTCCTTCACACTATTGATTACTCTTGTTCATTACAAATATTTTTTACTTTTACTTTTCACCTTTTTTTACGCGAAAATATTTCTCACGATTTATATTGTTAATCAAAAATTTTATTACATTTATATTAATCGCATTTCGCGTTATAAAACTAGTCAGGGATTTCAACAAATCTTAGCGTTACAATCAGATTTAAAGCGGTCAAATGAAATGATCTCAGTTGAGAATTAAAATAAAAAGAAAGATTTTGTGAGATTTCTTATGTCTATTCATGATTAAGATGAAAATAATTCAGGATTTAAACATTATTGATCAACTATTTTCTGCCTTTGAAATAATTAAAAGGCGCTTGTTTCGATCAGTTGGACTTTTTTCTTGATTTTCATTTAACGTTTGATCCCATTGTTACAATGTTTGAACTCATCATCTTCAAGTGTCCATAGTCTTTTCAACTATTAAATTTAAAGGCATTTGATTTCCCCAAAAATTATAGTTAAAATTCAATCCAACTAATTATATTTTCAATCTGTTGAATAACAAAATAAAATGAATTCTGTTCAAATTGAAATCTTAATTTCCCCATTCTCGATGTGAAGGTTTCTTTCATTATCAATTTCGACTTTTCCAATGTAAATTGATAGTAATTAAGAATATTTGTGTTTGGTAATCATTTAACTTTATAAATCAATTCTCAAACCTGGCAACATAAGTGATACAATGCTATAACTTTTTTCAAGATTTAAAGAATCAATATTTCAATATATTATAGCCCGGAATGAAAACTAATGTTTGGTCAAGAATGGTGCTTTTAGATGGTACCGTTCTTGAAATATCGAGACTCAAAGTTGTTAGGCCAATGGCCAAAATCAAAAGAACTGTTGGTTGATTGAAAAAAGTAGTTGATCTATGATATGTACCAACAGTTTTTATGGACTAATAACAAGTTTCAGCTTGCTAACTCTTACGGGCACAGATAGCGATCGGTTCAAGGGAAAATTGAACTTGATCTGTTTTACAGAAACAGAAAATGTTATTTCTCAAAATAAGATCATTTTCTGGTTGGCCAGCAAAAGATTAATCTATAGCATAAGTTTTATGAAAAATTCTGCTTCCATAGCTGCACAAAAGGCGATCGAAGTTTCAACTTCGACCTCGATTTTCGCAAAAAATATCCATCGGGTCAATTATTTAATAGTACCAATGGACGTAGTTTTTATGTATCTACAAACCCCACCAAGATTCAACTTATAACTCAAACTTTCGAGCCTTTGGCAGTACTTTTTGCATTTCATTTGCAAGTTTAACCAGAAAAGTGCTTTATTCACCAAGAAATGGGTTTATATGAGTTTTGTTTGTTGAATAAGTTGTTGCTCGTGCATTTAAAACCCAAATTTCATGAAACAAACGGGCTAATGGAAAGTTATTAAGTTGTATTGAGTTATTAATCAGTAAAGAATTAAATTGACGAAAGAATGATGATTGTAGGAGCTACCATTCTCGAAATATTGAGGCTAAAAGTTTTAAAACCAATGGCCAAAATTAAGAGAACTATCGATAAATTGAAAAAAGTATTTGATCTATGATTTGTACAAACACTTTCTATTGACTAATTACAAGTTTAAGCTTGCTAAACCTTACGGTCACAGAATGCGATCGGTTTAAGCGTAAATCGAACTTATCTATTTTACAGAAACAAAAAGTTTTATTTCATCTATTAAAGTCCATTTTATGGTTGATCATCAAAATTTACATTAGGAAAATGAGTTTCGTCAAAAAATCTCCTTCCGTAATTGTACAAAAGGCAATCGAAGTTTCAACTTTGGACTCGATTTTCTCGAAAACTATTGATAAGAGAAATTCTTAAATCGCACAAATGGACTCAATTCTCATGTCACTACAAGTCAAAAGAGTCTGAATTTGCAAGAAATTAATTTTCACCCGGTTTTGTCCATTTGTTTCAATTTGTGTCGTTTTAGTAACAACTCTTAGTAAATTATGCACGAATATAAATCCTCCCTCAAATAGCTGATGAATGATATTCATTTTCCGATAAATATATTGAGATCAGGTCAATATAAAGATAATTTTTATTGTAAATTAAGGTTTGTTTCAATGGACGAGCTAAAAATTGATAAAAAGCGCTGGATTATAGTGATCGATATCGATAATATCGCCCATCCCCACCTCAATGCTTCTCATTTTATAGTTGATCGGATTCATTTATGTTGACTGATTGTTGGTTGATACTTTGGTTTTGATTGGTCCAATTCACGGAAGCTCTGTATATTTTTTATGTGTCAGTGATCACTTGAATGATGGAGAAGATGCTTTCTATGGAGACAACTTTCAAGGCATGGACCAGGAAGAAGGTGACAATGAATATACCGTTTTGCATCTAATTGGTTTAGAGGTCTTTGGAGATGGCGGGTACTTCTACATGTAACGTATTTAAAATTATGCTGTTGATGCTGTGATGATCAAAGGAAATGGTTTATCAAATTTAACACATCCAATGATTCAATGATAATGACGCTATGTAAGAAAAGGCCTCACCTAAAAATCTTTATGAATCTTTATTTTGCTTCATTCACTTCTTATGCCTAATGTTATGTTTTTTTATATCACTCTTGTACAATATTTTTCAAGACAACTTTCAAAGTTAGTTATAAAAAAACTCCTCTAAGAAGGTGAATACAGTTTTAAATACATAAATAGGCAACTGTACTTGAACGGAATTGTCTAAGCAATAAGATTTAACTGTGTCTCTCTGGGTGAGGCCTTTTCAAGACGAAGGTGAAGGATGAAAAGAAACGAGGAGGATTCCCTTTTCACTAAAGATGATGAAGAGGAGGCCAAGAAGACAGAGAAGGTTATCCTAACGGAGATTTGGGAGGTTAAATGATGAAAGGTACCAACTAAATAAGAAATGTAAGTTCACTTTCATTTTGATACACATAAAAAAGTGGGTTGACTATTCTCGGCCATGCTTTTCATTGCAGCGTTTTTCCTTTCTCTCATTTTTTGCTTACCTTTCTTTTCATCTAAGATTGGACAACATTTCAGGCCAACTTCCGTCCAAGACATTTCATATTACGGCATATGTCATCCTAAAGGTTACCTGTTGATGGTTCTAAAGAAGGAAGATAAAAAAAAAAGAAAGAGAGAAAAGACCAAACCCGCTATGATGATAATAATGGTAACAGGATCATTGTCTATGCTTTTGGATATTTAGTGCAGTTTTTTTTGCTCTCCGCTTACTGTTGTTGACAATTTAGGCCTTTATACCCTCAATGGCCTTTTACTTTACCCTTTGGGCTTCTCTAAATTTATCGCTTATTCGGTAATAAATTAACACTTTGACCTTGCCTTCCTGTTGTTCCCAGATATTGACCAGCTCTTATTCAATGCTTTTATAAATACTTGGAGGAAAAGGATTTACAACAATGATATATACACCATTTAATAGAATTAATTCAGATAAATGTTATTATATTGAGTTGCTTATTCCTTTATTATTAAATCTATTAGGTTTAAATGTCACTGGAAATTGAATTTACCTCATAATTGTATGTGAAGTGTTAATGGCTTCCTAATGAAATTCATTTTAATAAGCTGAACGAAAAGTTGAAAGCTTAAAATGGGAAAAGAATTAAAAAGATTATATTCATCGGAAAGGTTAAATTTTCAATCGATAAGCTGATTCCTTGTGTCTGTAATATCAACTTGTTGAAAGATCGTCTAATTGTCAATATATTTCAAAGAAAGTTCGCCCTATTTTAACAACAATTATGAGTAAGGTTCAACATAGCTAAGTGTCAAGGCTTGGTCAGGGAATTGCATTGGTGTATTAATAAACTTCATCTATCCATGTCCTCTGGATGAGTTGATGAAGGTAAAAGTGTATATTTTTCAGTGTGATGACAAGATTGTCATTTATTGAAAAACACATACAAGTACATGAAACCTTTTACAGATTGTAGCCCATTACAAAAGATGAGTCGGAGTACTAAACAATAGAGTAACTAGAGTAATCAAGAGCTAAAAGTAGCAACAATAAAAAAAGAAAGAGTAAACTCATCAGTAAAAAGGTATGTATAATAAAAAAGTGAACAGGTAAGTTAAATGTATTTTGTTTGAATGAAAAGCCAGCAGGAGTCAACTGTCATCGTGCCGATGGACTCAGTGAGGGTTCCAATCTATTTGACAAGATGATGTTAACACTGAATAAAAAAGTAAAGGCTTTCACTTTGGATTTTTTAGACTTAAAATTAATTCTCTTCATGTTATCTCTTTGTCATCTTTCCACATCAAATCAATAGACAGGTCATTTAATTTTCTTTGTTTTGTCTTCAAACATTTTTCTTCTCTTTTCTTCATAAACACTCAATAAATGAAGGCTAAATCTCTCCAGGTAAGCGTATAAATTGTGATAACTTTCAATGGTTAAATGTTTAGTCAATTTGATGAGACAACGGCCTTTCCTATTAGTATCAATTGTGATCGAGATCTGTCTGACCCAAAATCAGACATGCATCATCTTCATCTTCAAGATCACTCTCTGAGGGGTTATCTTGATATCTTTCACTATTTTAATATCTTTTCATCTCTTTTTTTGCTTGTCAACATCCAAAGAAATTCATATTAAGTCAGTTGATCTTGTTGATTATCATTGAAACTCTTTGAACCTTGAGTCAATACAATAGTTTTGAAATAACTTTGTCCAACAAAAATTGGTTATAATGAAGAGTTGAAAAGTCTGATGTAAATTGACTGTCACTTATTGTGTGCAATACTGGACATGCGAAAGTTACAATGGTTAAATGTTCAGACTGTTTTCAAAATTAAGGACTTTTTGAAAATAACAAAAGTTCTATAATAATTGAAAATTTGAGAGCTTTGTAAAATGGTCATTTTTTGTTCTTTAGAACACTTTAATCGCAAATGAATAACAAAAATGAGCATAATCAAACATCCATTTGGAATTCAAAATAAGATTGATCAAAGTTTTGGACTCGAACGTAACCATCTTCTCCGCCACTGGCGTAGCTTTTTCCATCAGGATGGAAGGCTAAGGAATTGATAGGACCGAAATGACCTTTAACACGAGCAAACTCTTCTTCGAATATTAAATGGAAGAATCTAGCCTCAAATTTACCAGATCGAGCAGCAGTTGTTGTGACTTCCATAGCTTCTTGACCACCACCTACTACAACATGGTCTCGAATAGGGGAAATGGCGGCTGAATTGACTGGTCGCTCAGTTCGGTAAGTTTTTAAGTGTTCTAAGGTTTCAGTATCGAAGATCTAAATAATGTAGAATAGAGGTTGGAATTAAGAAATTATTCTATTTAATAATTATTGTGATTTGATGTGTGAAATGAACTTACTTTAGCCGTGGTATCTTTACTTGCAGTAATAAGCATAGTTTCATCGTTATTGTATTGCATATCATTGATTTGTCCACGATGAGCTTCTGGGATTTCTTGAAGTGATGATTTAGTTGTTCTCAGATCCCATTTAATTAAGGTACCATTTTCATGACCGGTAATGATACTTTCATCTAGTGGGCCCCATAAAGCTGCTGTAGGCTTTGAGACACCCATATCAGCGATGGAGAAAACGTATGAATTGCCTTTGAATTGGTCTGGATCATTAATGTCAATAATTCGCAATTGTGAAGGAAGGTTCATGGTTTTGTCAGTCGTGAAAAAAATCTGCTTTCCTGAGTTAGAGAAACCAACAACTCGAATACCGTTTTTAGAAGCAAATTTATTTAAAACTTTTCCATATTCTAAATCCCAAAGGTTTAAACTGTTGTCTCCACTACCAGTGACAACTTTAGTTGAGTCCCAATTACAATCAATTGTCCAGACCACACCTGTAAAATTGAATGAAAACAATAAAAAAGAGTTAACCAAATATGAATAAAAACAATGAAAGCTGAGCTCTGTGATCAAATACAAACCAGCATGTCCATCTAATGTACCAAGTCGTTCACCATTGACAGAATACCATACATTGGGATTAGCATCTTTAGCACAACTGAAAAGCAGATCCCCGTCGTGGTTATACTTGATTTGAGTAATAGCTCTTTCATGACCTTGTAACGCTAAAGGTTTCTGAAAAATTAATATTAAAAATAACACAAATTTGAGAAAAAAATTAAGGCAAGTGAAAGGTTTAATAATCAAACCATATGGAGGCACATGGGTAGTTGATAGGTAGAAATCATAAAATCTTACCATTTTGATAAATTAATTGGGAGAAGAACAGAAATTTAGTTGACCCAAGTATCGAATATTAATTAAGAAAATACTGATAATTTATTTAATTTATAATTAAAACACAATAAACAAAATCGTGTTGGCAAAAATAATAACACCGGTGATGATTTGTGATTCCTCTGATAGATGACACTACATGACGGAACTGTATCGATATATCGATATACAACGTAATTGAATATCAAACGAAAATTGAAGTGAAGGAATCCAATATTAATTTGGTCGGATAGAAACAGTTACTTATCCGGATTTTGGATCCCAAGTGATTTTAATTTAAATTGTTAAATTAATCACATTTCTTGTTAAACTAATCAACGACTTTAAGTAATTTTAGTACTTTAGTAAATGTATTAGCTTCATTGTCAATTTGAAAATCAATGAAATTGATGTATTTTACTGTACGAACATTAAATCTCATAAGATTTTATTGCAATCTGTTTAGATTCGGATCTGAATGAGCCTTGAATGAATATTCGGATCTGTAGCCAACTCTTCTTTTAAAGTGTCCAATTAAAATGACAATACTTGTCAACAAAAATCTATGTTCTTAATTTATCATCATTTATTGATTATTAATGTGTGTTCTCATGATTTAGTGTAGAAGTATTAACAGTTGATCACCTCTAAAACCTTAACATCAAGTTAACCTGTAAACCAGTTGATTATGAAAAGAAACGAAGGTCTTGTACAGAGAAGAGTTACCCAAGGGTGTAATTCAAACACAAATAAGGCTATTAATGAATTAAAGGATGGTAACGATGGTGATGTCGGGAAACAGTCTAAATGTGAAGATGACAATGATGTTGATTCAAAGGATACTAGGTTAACTTTGATGGAGGAAGTATTACTTCTTGGATTGAAAGATAAGGAGGTGAGAATTTGTGTTCATCTGAAAACTGAATCAAGATTCACCCATACATCAATGTAAATGCTATAGATTATCTCACATGATTGCGGTCTATCTCTTGTTCTATATCCTTAATATTGAGTAATACTAGTTCCACTGATGCTTTGCATCAATTTCCCATCTCAATATTATCTTTGCTGCATTGTGTTTTGCTATTTTCTTGCCTGGTATTTTACACGTTTACAATGTCACTTGTTTAATGCACCATGGCTTTGATTTGATTTTCTATTCTTTTCTCATCTTGATTCAATCATCCAATTTCAGGGTTATACGTCATTTTGGAACGATTGTATATCAACTGGTTTGAGAGGATGTATTCTTGTTGAATTAGCTCTCAGAGGTCGAATCGAACTCGAAAAGGCTGGTATGAGACGACGAGGGTTGCTTTCAAGAAAATTAATTGTTAAAAATCCAAATGCAACGGGTGATGTATTGTTAGACGAGGCTTTGAAACACATCAAAGATACACAACCAGAAACGTTACAGAGCTGGATTGACTATTTAAGTGGTAAGTTGATTATTTCGTTAATCCATATTGTATACATTCCGTGAATCAATAGTGAAATGCTGATTTTGTAGAAGTTCTTTCCGTTTTTTCTATCAGTAAAATAATATTACTATCTACTTGATTTATAAATTATATTGAATATTCATGAGAAATATAAAACAATTAATAAAATTATCAAGTTTAACCTTTAGTTGACCAGTTCACTTCCAAACTTTCATCTATCAGCTGTGATTCATCAATTCACTCACTGTATTATGCATGACTACAATTGTTCCCTAAAATGCTGCTTCTCATTTTACACTTTGATCGTATCAATTATTGTTTACTGATTGTTCTATTTTTTTCTCCCAACTAGGTGAAACCTGGAATCCGTTAAGGTTAAAATATCAATTAAAAAATGTTAGAGAACGTATAGCAAAAAACTTAGTTGAGAAGGGAGTTTTAACTACCGAAAAACAAAATTTCCTGTTATTCGATATGACCACTCATCCATTGGTTGATTCCGGAACGAAATCCAAGTTAATAAAAAAAGTTCAAGATGCCGTCCTGAGTAAATGGGTAAACGATCCTCACAGAATGGATAAAAGACTTTTAGCCCTTATCATATTGGCGCATGCATCCGACGTTTTAGAGAATGCTTTTGTTTCTTTATCTGATGATGATTATGAAATTGCTATGAGAAGGGTTCGGGAACTCTTAGACCTGGATATGGAAAGTGAATCAATGAAATCGAACTCTAATGAGACTATGTGGGCTATATTTGCTACATTTGTTAAATAATTTGCAATTTCCAGCTTGCCAACCGTAATTATTTCAACACGTGAGAGTTTATAAAGTTAATTTTGAAGAATAAGCAGATAATGGGGAAAGCAGAGGAAAAGAAATTCTATTGGATATGATAATTTCTGATTCTCATCAATTAATAACAACAAGCACAAGCAGCCTTCAATTATCTCTTTATCTCTATCTTTATCCATTGCCCTTTTCATTCATTATTTCTCCTCTCCTTTCCATTCCCTTCATTCATCCTAAAACTCTTCGAGTTATCAAAGCTCATTCTTCGATCCCACGATTTTCACAAACTCAAGTACATATATAAATATCAAATGCTGCGATCGAGAGCTCAAATTCATCATTCTTCAAGATTTTATATTAAGCTTGTATATTGAAAGTTCCATGCTAATCAAACAAAATGATCCAATATTGTTGACTCCTGGAAGAATCAAAAATCTTCAAGAATGATAAAGAAATATTGTAAGCAAAATGTATCTATTACTATTCTATAGTTAACCAAATTTATTCAAGTTGTTAAGACGATGAATAATGTATGTTAACGCCAAACAAAAAAGGATCCTCCAAAATTGCGAGAAATTTTCCTTTTATCGATTTTAACAATTTGCAAAACGCTAAACAAACAATTCACCACCAACAAATTCATCAGAGAGCCATACAAAACATTCAGAGTGATTATTAAATTGACTGATTAAAAGTAAAACAATTATAAGTTGCCCACCTTTTCGTTCTTATTTCCACTTCACATTTCTAATCACTCTAAGTCGTGTCACTTTATCATCTATTTCACCATAAAAAGCAAGATGTTTGTTTCATCGGTTTGATCATTAAACTTGTAAAAACACGTTTGTACTCCTTTAAGCCAACAACGAGATTATCTTTGCTTGGAACAATTAAAAATTAGGCAATTCAAGTTAACTGGTAAGTTAAATTTGTCGAGTGAATTCATTAGTTGGTCTGCTGAACAAATAACTAAGAAATTGATTTGAAACAAATGATTTTAATTCAATTTCTCTAATTGTGTTTATTGTTGGATAAACATGTTTAGCGCCATCTGCTTTTTTCAAAACTAACTGCCTTACACTTCTTTTTGGGTGTAAGATGTAAAGTCACACAGCACAATGCGCACAGTCATTTTTAGGAAACCATTTTGTTCTTAGATTTACTTATTTGAAATTCAAGTAATATCTTTTTTTTAAACAATTGTTTAAATATCTGATTTCAATTTATGTGATTGATTGGTTTTAACTATTAAACACTTAGCTCAGATCGTGGTGGATCAATTGTGGTCAATTGTAATAGTGACAATAACGGCCATTCTCTAAATCAAGTTTGTGAACCCCTGATGGAGGAGAACAAAGAAATCTCCAAAGGACCTGGAAACGCTAAGGCTAAAGGTGATACACTTCAAACTAAGAAGATGAAATCAAATGATGAAGTTGACATTCGGTTAATGAGTGGTCGAAAGGTATGTACAATTCGATTTAATTGTCAATGGTGTTATTTAAATGTTCTTAAAGACCGGTTTTCAACTCTCTTTCTGTTCCTTTCTCCCTCTCTTTCTGTCTTTCTCTTTCTTTCTCTTTCTATTGGAAGAGTTGGAGATTATATGATGTATGTCTCATTCCTATATGATGCCATCATATAGGAATGAGAACTTAGTACATTTACCCTATGTTTTATATTTGTATTATTATCTTTTTTTCCCTCCTAGGAATCAAAGAAAGATAAAGGCATTGCAGGAAGTCGCAATAGTAAAAGAAAAAGATCACCTTCGCCACTTGTAGACAAAAAACGTAACCGTGCAAGGCAAACAAAGACTAGAAGTTCAACACCGTCATCTCATTCTAGTGCTAAAAAGAAGCCTCTCAGAGGAGGAGAAGGCGATTCAGATGAATCATTTGAGGACACTGATGCCTGGTCTCCCGAACAAGCGGGTCAAGAAACTCCAGCCTCTAAATCAGCAAATTCAAGAAATTCACTGGCCAACAACGCCTCAAACTCCACAGAGGCAAGCTTGTTAGCAGACGTTGACATTGCTGATCGGGAAGAGAAAAGTGTTACTCCTAGTGAAAATAAAGTGAATAGTACAAGTACCGATAAAGCAAAAGTTGGTACCATTTCTCCTAACAATAATTGTGACAAAGTTGTTAAAGAAGAAGATGATGACAATGTTACCGATCAAACTAATTATATTATTGTTCCAAGTTATTCTGCATGGTTCGACTATAATTCAATCCACGCCGTCGAACGAAAGGCTCTTCCTGAATTCTTCAATGGAGCCAATGAATCCAAGACTCCAGAAGTTTACCTTGCCTACCGTAATTTTATGCTTGACACCTATCGTCTTAACCCAACTGAATATTTAACTGTTACTGCTTGTCGGCGTAATTTGGCAGGAGATGTATGTGCGATTATGAGAGTTCATGCTTTTCTTGAACAATGGGGGCTAATCAATTACCAAGTTGATGCTGAATTACGACCGACTCCTATGGGTCCTCCTTCAACGAGTCATTTCAATGTTTGTTTCGATACACCTTCAAATCTACAACCTTCTAATCCTTTACGGGCTCGCCAAGATACTCCGGTCAGTAATTCCTCGTCACAATCTGCAAGTTCTCAAGAAAACAAAGAAAACAAAGAGAACGAAGAGCATAGCTCCAAACCAGAATTGAATGGCAATTTCGGTTTGAGGACTGATCAGTATGAAAAGAAGAATGCATACTTCAAGAACAAGGGTGCAACAAAGATAACCAGAGAATGGGAAGATCAAGAAATACTTTTACTTTTAGAGGCAATTGAAATGTACAAAGATGATTGGAACAAAGTCTGTGAACACGTTAGCAGTCGAACTCAAGAAGAATGCATCCTTAAATTCTTGCGTTTACCCATCGAAGATCCATACTTAGATGAATCTGACGGAGTGTTAGGACCCTTAGCTTACCAACCCATTCCATTCTCTAAATCAGGTAACCCAGTTATGTCAACTGTTGCCTTTTTGGCATCAATGGTAGATCCTCGTGTTGCCGCAGCGGCTGCCAAAGCTGCTATGGAGGAGTTTGAAAAGCTCAAGGATGAAGTGCCTTCTGCTTTGCTTAACGCTCATATCAAGAATGTTGAAAATAACGCTTCAAAAGGCCTTCTTCCAGATTTAGACTTATTTGACTTATCTATGAGCGGCATTGCAGGTACAGACGAAAAAGAGAATCCTGCCAGTAATGTAACAGATGAAGAAAAATCGCGTTCTGATGCAGCAAAAAGATCTAGAAGTGATTCAAAAGATGGAAATAAATCCGGCGTAGATCTTAAAACTGAAAAAGTTAACGGTGTCAGTCATCCCAGTACTGAACAAGGAAAAGAAATCGAAGAAAAATCTAAAGATCTAACCACTGAAGAAAAGGAATCAACCCAAGATAGCGGTAAAGATGTCGAAATGAAAGAAGTTAGTAAAGAAGAAGAAACAAAGGAATCGAGTGAACCAAGTGAACCGAGTGAAAATGCCTCCTCAAGTGATTCGGCTAAAGAAAAGTCGAGCGAAAAGAGCAACATTGAAGAACCTGAGGATAAAGATGCAACTAAAAGTGACATTACCAGCACAGACAAGGAATCTCCTGTCGAAGAAAGTTCTGCCAGAGATGATCAAACGGCTTCCGAAAATAAAGACAAAGATAAACCAACGACTGAAGCAATGGAAGAAGGTACTGATGATAAATCAAATGAAAAAATCTCATCTATTGAAAATAAAAGTTCAACAAAAGATAAGAGCTTAGAGAGGACTAAAACCAAAAATGAAGATAATCAAGAAATTATGAAAGAAAAAGTTGTCAAAGAAGTTCAACTATCAACCGCAGCAGCCGCTGCTCTAAGTGCTGCCGCTGTTAAAGCCAAGCATCTAGCCGCAGTTGAAGAAAGAAAAATTAAATCATTGGTGGCTCTCTTAGTAGAAACTCAAATGAAAAAGTTAGAAATTAAATTAAGGCATTTTGAAGAATTGGAAACCATTATGGACCGAGAGCGTGAAAATGTAAGTTCCTTTTCTTTTTACAACCAACCCTCTCAAATTAGACTTCGGGAGAATAGCTAATAGTTTACTCTGCTGTCAAGTACGCGTATTGCAGATCAATCTATTGGGTAAACCAGAAAGTTTTAAACCTCTGACCGTAATCATATTTCAAAATATCAATTATTATGGTAAAAGTTATTATATATATCTAATTGGCACCTAATTTCATAATGAAAGATATTACTTAAGTTACTTGAATTTTGGTTTAATTTAATCATTTTCTTGACACTTTAAACAATCAAATTACCTCCATTCGAGAGCTAGAAATTCATACAATCTCTGGTTAAAATTGGAAAATTCTAACCATTACCAATATTTAATTATTAACAATTAGATAATTTTAACATATGAATTGGTCTTTTGAAATATATTTGAGATCAGAGGTTTAAAACATTTGCTTTGCCTGATATTAGCTTCGGTACTGGGCAAGTTGTTTGGACTACTGTCTAGAAACGCCTAACTTTGAGAGGTTTGCCTGAATTTAGATTTTATTTTTCTATTGCTTTCAAAAGATCACTCTTCTATTATTTTTTCAATTCTGATGTGTTATTATGGTTTATTTTTTCCCATTAGTTGGAGTACCAAAGACAACAATTAATACAAGAACGTCAACAATTCCACTTGGAACAGTTAAAAGCAGCTGAATATCACGCTAGACATAAGGCACAGTCAATGCTTTTGGCGCAACAAGGAAATACATCAGTAACTGAAGAGCCACCTATTAGTCAGCCAAAACAAGCACCATTTTTCCCACCACAACCACCTCCACCACCACCTACAACACCTATTCAACAGCCTCCCCATTCTCAGACTGCAATGACGGCTCAACCAGAGGCTCAGCAGCCACACATCCCTCCGCAACCTCACAATCCTCCTCCACCTCATTCTGCACCTCAACCGCATAATCCACCACAACCATATAATGCGCCTCAACCCTACAATGCACCACAACCATACAACACTCCACAACCCCACAATCCTCCTCCACCTCATTCTGCACCTCAACCCTACAATGCACCACAACCATACAACACTCCACAACCCCACAATCCTCCTCCACCTCATTCTGCACCTCAACCGCATAATCCACCACAACCACATAATGCACCTCAACCCTACAATGCACCTCAACCCTACAATGCACCACAACCCTACAACACTCCACAACCCCACAATCCTCCTCCACCTCATTCTGCACCTCAACCGCATAATGCACCACAACCACATAATGCACCACACCCACATAAATGCACCTCAACCCTTCCCAACAACACTCCACAACCCCACAAAGACTTCTTTTTGTGATAATTAAACCTAGAAAATAAAAGAAAAATTAAATTTAATGAGTTTAATTCGAGGTATCTTCAATTCAATTCAACTTTTCTGTAAAAAAATATTTCAAAGACATGAAATTAATTTTGAAATATCCAAAAATCCTAGACATAATCTAATGGGAAGAAATTGCCTGTAAATCAAGTAAAGTCAATTTGAAATGTAAATTACACATAATAAATTTCAATTATAATAAGAGACATTGAGATTGACGTTGTATTGATAAAAAATAAATTGTTAAAAATCTAGGATATATTATAATGAAATTAAAGCTTCTTCCAATAATCTCTCTAGCCTTGAAATGAAGTATTTGATCTCACTTGTCAGTTGATTAATTTCTTTTGACAATCGATTTTTACAGCAAATATTTTTAATTTTTAAAATTTTTAATTATAACAATCAGATGTATTTCACGAATTTATTCCCTTTCCTTGATCGTTAGTTTCTTCATTGATTCTGCAAATTTGGTAAGATCTTTTTCTTTAATGTATGGAGATGCGACGAATGTGCTTTTTAATCGAGTTTCTTGTTTCTTTTTTGGTAAATTTTCTGACAAATCGTCTTCTCCAGTTCCTGCAAACGTTTCATGGTCGTTCTCTTTATTATTTTCATGGTCATTGTCAGTTTCCACACGAGGAACCATGAGAACCTCTGCTCCTCGAGCTCCTTTGGTGTCGTGATAAATTTTAACGCTCACTGGAGTTACGGAAGTATTACTTCTCATCCAAAATGGTTCCTCGTCTAATTGTTCTTTCAAGAAACATGATGCCTTGTAACATAAATTGGAACAGAATAACTTCCTTTCAGATAGATCATATACTTTGTGTTCAGCTAGTGAGATATGGTAGCGTTGTTTACATGGTTTAGGTAGATTTGCGAAACAAAGTGGATAGCCACAAATATTGACCAAGCTTCTCTCCACATTTACATCTTCATAGTCTTGTTTACACAAGAATTTGCAATGTTCAATTAAACTTGCTTCATCAATCTTTTTATCAACAATTTCCTCTACAATTGAAACAATTTTACGTTTTCCTTCTTTAATCTTTTCAACCTTTCTCCTAGCTTCTTCTCGAGCGGCTCGTCGAATCAGTTCTTTTCTTAGTTTCTCTTCTTTAGCTAAATTTATCTCCTTCTTTGGATTCTCCTTTCCTTTAGATTCATTCACTGTAAGAAATAAAAACAATTAAAGGGTGTCTGTTTTAAAGTGTCTTGAGCACCAAAACTTGAATGAGCCTTATTGGGTCCAGATAAAAAACCCAA